CGCCTGGGTGCCCGATGGCTGCCAGCTATTTACGGGCAGCAAGTGTGGAGTCATCACCGCCTACAGCAACCGCTTCACCACCACCACGGTGGGTTTCCATGGCGACGTCCCCCTCTAACCTTCCGTCTCCACATCAACACCCAATCCACCCACCCACCCACCTCCCATTACCCCTCCCCCCTCCTCTACCCCTCTTTAGACCGCCTCACCGTGCTCAAACGCTCAGCTTCATTAGTCACATCACAGTTACCCTTGAAATACATTTCCAGCGAGCCTACAAGTGGGATTAGAGGTCTGGGAGTTCAGTCATCAGAGAGGCTTTCAGACTTTCATCGGTCCCCACCAATAGGCATCTAGATTTCCTTTTGTCTCTGTCTCTGAAGGGTGTTTCAGTAGCAATTGATTTGTGCTGTTCAGAAAATCCTGTTGGAGATTGATTAATTGAGGGTTTTGTTGGTTTTTTTGAGAGAGAGATACCTCATCCATGCTAACTCTTTCCACAGCCGTCAGAGATGGAGGTGGAATCTCAGGTTCACCTGTACGGACACACGGGGGAAGTCACCAGCCTGTTTGTCTGCAAACCCTACAGCATCCTCATCAGTGTCAGCAAAGATGGCACCTGTATCCTCTGGGACCTCAACAGGTCAGTGTGTGTGTGTGTGAAAATGTCTTTTTGTGTGTAAGGAGAAATGTGAAGTGGTGCTTTTTACAACATGTTGCTCCGTGTCTCTGCAGGCTCTGTTATGTACAAAGCCTCACAGGCCACAAAAGCCCGGTGACTGCGGTGTCCGCCAGCGAGACCACAGGTGACATCGCAACAGTCTGTGACTCAGGTGAAAGACCGCTTTTCAGATTTTATCACTTTTCCAGACTGACACAATGTGTTCGTCCTTGATACGATTCTTTGTATCGCAGTGGGCGGAGGCAGCGACCTGCGCCTGTGGACGGTCAACGGTGACCTGATCGGCCACGTCCACTGCCGAGAGATCATCTGCTCGGTGGCCTTCTCCAACCAACCGGAGGGCGTGTCTGTCAATGTCATCGCCGGTGGGCTGGAGAACGGCGTCGTCAGGTGAGCAGAAAATATTTGTTATGTGCTTATTTTCATCTCAGGATGCTGAATTATTCACACTGATGGTGGAAATATGTTTTTTCAGGTTGTGGAGCACCTGGGATTTAAAACCAGTGAGAGAGATCACCTTTTCCAAGTCAAGCAAACCCATCATCAGGTATCTTGTCAGCACTACAACCATGTTAAAGACCTTTTTCACAGCAGCCATTTCGACATTAAATAGTAAGGTAAACACAGGTGTTACGAATGATATAAAAGGCCTTTACACACCAAATAAACAACACAAAAATGGGAAATACTCGCCTGTGAATGTGTTCATACCGGCACCAATGTGAATTTAAACATTAAAATAAAACATTAAATCCACTTACAGCGGACCAAGCACGACGGGGACTGGGAGAAAAATACAGCGGCTCGCAGAGTTCCCCGTTCTCTTGTCATATAATGGAGGGTGATGAGAAACGATCAACAGGTCCGCCCTAATTTGTGACGTGGCGTCCGCACAATGTGAATGGTTGATGCCTTTATCCGCGGAGAGAAAGCAAAAAAATAAATAATAAAAACAAAAATCGCTTATGTCTGAATTTGCTGTGTCATATTTGTGAAAGTAAGGCTTTAAGGCTCCGTTCCATTTAGTGTATCAGAGCCTTTCCAATGAGCCAACAAGCACAAAAGCAGCAACTTGACTCAGTTTGACCCGAATGGAACAGAACCTTAATTAGTATTACTGGTAACGTCTGTGTTTACCCTACTGTTTCGTGTCAAAATGGCTGCTGTAAGAAAGGTCTTTGCTCCTATGTGATGCTTTGTAATACTGATGACGATGTCCTCCCGCTTTGTGCCTCAGCCTGACGTACTCGTGCGACGGCCACCACCTCTACACAGCCAACAGCGAGGGCACGGTGATGGCGTGGTGTCGGCGGGACCAGCAGCGCATGAAGCTGCCCATGTTCTACTCCTTCCTGAGCAGCTACGCCGCGGGCTGACTGCGTGTCTGAGGTTTACGACTGTCCAGTACTCAGCAAGAGGAGCCCCAACCCCTCTCCTCTTCCTCCTCCTCCTCCTCCTCCTCTTCCTCCTCCTTGCACTGACGGGGAGGAGGATGTGTCAGCATGGCCTCATCCTCCCTGAACCCCTCCCTGACTTTTAACTAAAGCCATCCCCAGCTGAGCAAGCTCGACCTCAGCCACTCCCAGCATCAAGAAATTATGAAAATAGTATTATATGTATATAAATATATATTTATAAACATACTGAAGTTGGGGGGGAATGGATGAATATTTGGCTGAGGCTGCAACAGACACTTTATACAAACTGCATTTTCTGAGAGTGTTTGGTTTGATAAGTCTTTTATTATTTTGTTTCTTGCTGTTGAGTTTTTCGTGCGAAGATCGTTGCCTGATGTTGATTTTTTTGCTGTTTCCTGGTAAGCTGCTATCGTCTGGCTGTAGCCAGACCCGAAGTGTGAAGGCCCCCGTCTCTCACCTCGCCTGCGCTCGGGATCTCCCGCGGCGCGCTGTCTGACAGATTGCTGCCGGAGCTCGGCGAGCGTGTCCTGCTGACGCTGCAGCTAGCTAGGAGGGAGGGGAGCCCCTCCTCGCGTCTGTCACCGGGAGACGTCCCGCTCTGTGGGAGTGAGACGCCGCTCTGCTGGGCTGTCTGCTCCACTCAAGTCTGAACACTAGTGTCACGGCCCTGCATCACTTTGTATCTGAGCTCAGTGGAGGGACGGAGGGTGGGCGGGATGAATTGTTCCTTGTGTTGCCTGTTGTTCTGTCCTACTTTTGCATGCTAGAATGATGCTGACCTTGACTGTGTGTATGTGGATGTGACATTTACTGTCAGGATGCTTTATTAAGGCCTGTCTCTTGTGCATTGAGTAATGTTGATATTCATTTATTTATTAAGAACACCATAGAGGCTCATCTTTCCTTCTTTCCTTTCTCGTGTTTTTACTGTCTGCCACTCAAATGCACTAAAAGCTTTTCAGTACTTAATATAGTTTGCTGAACTTCTGAGAAAGTGATTAACATAGAGCATTAGAGGTCTGAAGCAGAGAGGAATCTCCTACGAGTCGTGCTTCGTAGCCGTGCAGCATTACAAAAAGGTTGTAGTAGGTGGGAGGGTGTGGTGGCGAGCGTCATGTCCAGCAGAGGTTAGAGGAGTTAGCGTTTCCTGCACTGACGAGGTTTTACTTCAGAGTCTTAAACACTACACTGATCAGTCCGGGAAACAGTCGACCAACTGTTTATGGATCCATGCAGCTATTCGTTACATTCCCACTTACAGCACTTTGCTATTACGTGTGAAAATGGTAGTCAAACCTAATCCGCTACCATTTAATTAAAGGAGAGCCAATGATCTGTGGTCTTAACATGAACTGAGCTTTGCTTTAATTCCGCTAATAAATCTAATCCAGAAAGCAATATCAGACATGCAATAGGTAGTTTTTTTTTTGTTTCATATGTGGAAGAAACCAGGAGTTTGATTTAATACAGCTGTGAAAAAAAAAGTTGTTTTGCCTTTTTTGGTGACTGCTGCGAGCCTTCTGGGTTGAGAAATGATGTCTTACATTTCACAACGTGGTGTTTGACTTGTTTACGAGAAAGGGAATATTTCTTCTGATATCACGATGTCATTCCTTTTTATTGTTTTTGTTTTCCTTCTCAGCCGACCCGGAACCTTGTTGAGCATCATGCTCGTACCAGACATGATGTTACCGTGTTTGTTTACCGTGTTTCATGCTTGCATGTGTACATACATTTTCTCCTTGAAGAACTACAACTTTTTCTTTTCTCTTTCCAACATGTGAGATTGTATGAATGTCTTAGTTTCCCCTGTTGTTGAGAAAATAGCAAAAAGCAGAGAGGAAAATGTGCTTATGAGTGAAGTGTTTGTGCTTTCTGACACAGAAGGAAATATTATGTTTCTGTTGATAACTTAAGCTATGCATAATTTCAGATTATTGTCTTAGGTTGCTTAAATTGTGTCATTTATTTGACCTCTCTGAAGTTTGGCATCATGGACCGAGGTTCTGAAAGCTCCTGTTGTACGTTTCTTTTTGTTTGTATATATGTGCGTGTGTGTATGTATGGACAACCAAGTGATGAGTATATTATAAATATATAAATATATATAAATATTTGAAGAAATATTACTACATCTTGTCGTTTGTGTCTATTTCTTACTTTTGTGTGGTGCGTTCAGGGACACCTAAAGCGAGCAAGAAGAAATGCCACGCAAATCACTGCAGTAAAATCAGAAGCATGAATATGAAACATAAAAATATAGATTATAGGTTGAATAGGTGGAAGAAAAAATGTTTAATTTAGATGCAAACCCCCCAAAAAAGTGAGCTGCGTTGTTATGGATGAGGCCCATCAGTTACTATAGGGGGGGGGAACCGGTTGATGTCAAAGCTGATGTAAAATTTGAAAATGGAAAGCCTTTGCAAGATTCTTTCAGGTGCCTTCTGGCAACAATAAAGTAAAATGAAAAATCAGCAGACGTAAATTGGACAATAAGTTTCTGGTTCCTCCGGTGCGTTTGAGGGCCGTTTCGTACAGTAGGAATACATCCCGGCTGTTGCTTGCTTGCTTGCTTGCTGCAGCTCCTGGTCCACTGATCGAGTGCTCCCTGCCCCACAGCCTGTATCTGATCGTCATACAGAGGTTTCCCCCCCTGCTGCATGCGTAACATCTCTCCAAGTCCAGCCGTGGTGCTCACCAAGACCTCACCGCTTGGATCTCATCTTCCTACACGGAATACGCACGACTCACACTGAGCGAACCGCTGAGGCGAAATCAAAACGCCAGGATCTTTTTTTTTTACCTCCTCCGGGTTCAGTCCAGACCGAAACGAGGCTGGGATTTCCTCTTATCATCTGATATTTGACAGATCCTCTTCTTTCCTTTTTTTATATTGTGTGTGTGTGTGTTGGGTGGAGTCAACCCGGAATTTCTCCAAATTGGAAAACCATTGGCACATTTCAGGTAGGTCGGCGGCTGTACATTAATCTGCTCATAGCCGAGCAATGCAGCGAAGCGTCCAGAGATTTCTTTAAATATAAATATATATATTTCCTTCATGCAAAATCATTTGTTTTTTATCATGATGTGTGTGTGGTGGTGGTTTGCTGTTTTCTGCTCTAACCAGGGCCGCAGCTCGCACCGTGTGTGTCCACAATTTAATCCCCCTTTTAGAAAATAAAATAGTCGCCCATGTTTGACAGATCTGCATCAACAATTAGCCTCATTACATTCGGATAAAAAAAAAAAAAAACGTGTGTGGACAGTTAGAGCTCCAGATGCAACCGTGTGATGAAACGAAGGGAAAACCTAAATGGGAAGGGAAAAAAAGAGGCCTGATAGCTTTTCCTACGAGGGTTTGATTAAAAAGCTATAAATTGGCTTTAGATGTATGAAGGGTGGGATTGGGGAAATTAATTCACCGTCTGCATCCCCCCCCTCCTCTCTCTCTCTCTCTCTTATTACAAAACATCTGCTTCATGGCGTTTAAATACATACAGATTCTGCCTGATGCGATGAAAATGAAATAAATAAACAAATCGATGCAATCCACAGTGTTTAATTCAAACAGCATCCCTCCCCCAAAAAAAACCTCAGTGAAATGCTTCATATTTTCTCCATGCACATTATTATTGTACAGCACATCTGTGGGCAGGTGTATGGCTGCAGAACTGGGGCATTTTGGGAGAGAGAGAGGGAGGGAGGGAGAGAGAAAGAGGGGGTCAAGGGGCCTAAAATGAGAGCAAGATGTGGTCATTACATAGGGGTTGGTCGCTCAGAAGAGGCTGGTTTGCAGTGGATTAAAATACAGTTGCATTCATGCACGTGGTGGAGAAAGTTGAAGGCAAAGAGTGGGCAGATTTTGTGGGATTTGCAGGGGGGAAGGAGAGGGGGAAAAGTTGCAGGTGTGACTCCCTTGGAAAGATGTGATAACCCCCCCTAAAAGTGCCTTTAAGCAAAGCACTTGCCCTGTGGTGAACCACGCAGCTCCACAGAGGTGTGTTTTAATGCTCCTTCCCCCCTCCAGCCCCCTGCCTGTTGTCAAAAAGAAAACACAATCACGAGCACTGGCTGTAAAATGACAAACCGCTGTCCAGCTGCTGCCTTTTAATCTCTTTTCTTCTGATAAAATGGAGCTTGGCTGTGCTGTAAAACAGATTCCCCCAGACAAAATGGGTCCTTTAAATAAAAAGGTTGTGGTAGAGAATGGCTGCTCCACGAAGGGGAGGGGTTGAGATTGTGTGTATGTGTGTGGTGGTGGTGGGGAGGGGGCAGACACATTGCCAGGGGGGATGCTGCTTTGTGGATTTAATGTGATGTTCATTGACTCTATGTGTCCCCCCTTTGTGCCCGTGTTTGGCGTCACAGGAGCACCATGAAGGACGGTATTGCCAACAACAGCACGGCCAGCATCTCCCACGCCAGGAAAGCTGTGGAGCAGCTGAAGATGGAGGCCTGCATGGATAGGATAAAGGTACAGGGCTTTTATTTATCTACCTGTGTCTGTTTCTACCAAATATGTAATATGTGCATTTAGAAATCACCTCACTCAAGTTTAAACAAACAAAACTGATTGAAACTACTACAACTATAAGATTTGTTGTGAATACTCATTTTGAATTAGCTGTAAGGTGTTTAATATTTATACTGATGTATCTTATTGCACTAAAATAGGTTTTATGTATATGAATTTGATTCCTACAGGGTAGAAATGTTTACAGCAGTACAACAGACTTCTCTTGATGAGTGACAGCAAACATTTCATTTTTATTAATTTACTGACTCAACAAAGCTTTCTTGCTTAAAATTGTCACGGCTTAATGTTTTCACACAATGAAATGAAAGTAATCATTTATTTAACTCAATAAAAACACTTCTGTTTGTCCTCCAAAAACTATTAAACTCCTGGCTGACTCGTTCCTTCATCATGACGAACACGGTAGTTTACCTTCACCGTCCTGCTGCGTCAGAACTCACTATTGCACCAAATGTCTATTCATCCGCGGCTCGAACTAGTCCCCTATTATCACACTATTTACTCCTGTTTGAGTAACGTTTGATAAAAAACTCAAACTTAAGAAGAATAGTTTGCATTCTTGCCGAGAGTTAGGGTTAGATGTTGATGATGTTGGTTAGTGAGCTTTAGAGGCGCTGGAAGGTTTTGTTACCTTCATACTCAGTCACGCTACCTGTTTCTCCTTGTTAATGCTAAGCTAAGCTATCCAGCCGCTCACTCCAGCTTCATGAGGAAGAGTGGTATTGTTCCTATCATGTAACCTCAGGCCTGTCTCATGCATCAGAGGATTTATTGTATTTTCTTTCTAGAATTATATAAAATATATTACTGTTATATATGATTGTTAACTATGAGTTGGCTGTCCTACTAAAAGCCTTTCATTTTAAATATGTGTTTAATATCTCTGCTAAACATTTTAGTGCTTTAATGTTGTGCTCAGTAAGACTCATTCTCTTCTCATAACGGGTTTATAATGTCGGAAAGAAACCAAATTCACCTGTTTTATAGTGTCAGATTCCTCCAGACGAACCAGCCGATAGTCATCAGCTAACACGGTCACTCATTTAACCGTAACACCGGCAGTGCAGTTGTGTCCTTGCCTCACGAAAGTCAGAACAAACTTTTTAATTATAGGCCTTGTAGATGTAATGTGAGTGAAGATTGAGCAGCTGGATTGATTATTTGTATGTGTAGAAAATAGGTTTTCTGGTGGAATCTGCTGCACAGCCCAAATGAGTCTCCTACTGCTCCTTAAATTCAGATGCAGAAACAGACTTTATGTTCCAAATGAATCTGGATAAAGTCCTCGGGTTGATGTCCACTATCTGTCATCTCAGTGTGTTATGAATACATTAACCCACATATAGTAATAGTAGCGTTAAACCATCAACATTATCTTGTATCTGCGCTTCATATCAGACTCACAGTGGACAGTAAAAGAAGAGAAGGATCAAAGGATCAAGAAGCAGAGATAATGTAAGTTCTCTCTTAAGTTAGGGTTGTAAAGTCGACACTAAAGGCTCAGAAACTACTAGTTTGTAACTAAATCAGCTACTAAAATCAACACAATTACTTTGGGCACGTCAGAACGAAGGCGAGTGTCCAATCAAAGATGAAAGACATTGTTCCATCGCCATGGTTACCGCATGCATTATTATAAGCTAGATCAGTGGCTCCCCAAGCTGGCGGTCGCCAAAGCTTCAGGTGGGGTTGTGAGACCTTCTTGATTTTAAGGCATGGTAGAAAAAAACTGGAGCGATATCCAAGCATTTGGATATCAGAAGAAAAGTCAATGTAAAGTAAACTGTCTAATAGATCAATGACCAAACATCAGGGACAAGAAAACACTAGATCTGTCAAAAAAAGACACCTGTAAAGTCTGTATAATTGTTAAAAAATACAAAATACAGACTGTACCATGTAATACTGTAATACCGATTGTATAAAAAGTTCCCTAAACAGGAAATAATTCATCTAAATTGCTCGTTTTACACAAACTTCCTGCAGTTCATTATTTGGGTTAATTGAACAGTTTTGAATATAATATCAAATATCCATAAAATAAATCACAGCAGGGTTCGTGAGTTTACTTAATGACAGAAAAGGGGTCCCTTAAGGAAATAGGTTGGGAACCACTGAGCTACATCGATACTAAAATATCATACCAACAAATTAAGTCTCTATTCGATTACCGTGTCGTAAAATGGCTGCAGGTAATGAAGAAATACATTTATGTGTGTGTGTGTTGTTTTACCATCAGTGAGGATAATTCTGTGACATTTTATGATTTACCACCTTAGTGACACACGTAACTATTTACTACTCAGGAGTTATGACGTAATGTGTCTCTGTGGTGCGGCCGCTTTTATTTTGTTAACGCATAAATCACCGCTTACTAATAGTTTCAGTTATAACTCAGCTGACTTTGAACACGGTTGATGCACCAGGCTGCAGATTATTTTTACATTTTCAAACTTGTTTCCCAACTGACCCTGACTCACGTGACGTCACTTGAGGCAATTTATCAGACGTCGCAGAGCTCCCGCTCGACCAACCTTTTGACAAATATAAAGATGACAACAGAATAAATGTCTTTGAGCCAAGTTTCGTGAAAACGTCTTCAGACAGGCGTCACATGAAGCCTCAGTTCACCTTGAAAGCACCGGTGTCACCACCTCTGTGTCAGAGTGCATCCGCTGCGCACAGCGAGTACTCCGATGCGCTGACTGTGAGGGATGAACCCAGAGGCGTGGTGGGCTTCGGTGATTGTTGACCACTTCTGACATTAGTTTTCTACCAATGTGAGTCACAGAGTTTATCCTTGGTTGGCACTATCTCACGCAGACCTCTTCTTATCTTACTTTGGCAGCGTGCAGCCGGCTCTGGTTCGCATGTGGACATTTAAATCAGCCAACATTTGCTCGCTCTGTCTATAATTATCATATTCCTGATACTCATAACCTCCTGCAGCTCCACCAGACTTTTATTGTGAAGGCGTCATAAAGGGTATGTTTCCTCATCAAACAACACCTGGTTAAATATTGACTTCTGAGTCCTATATAGTCTTTATGGTTCATTCACCATACATTAGTACCTTAAAATGTTTCTGTAGATATAGATTTCTCTATCACTTCTATTCATTAGGTACAACCATGACTAGAAGTCATTATTTTCACCCCAATAAAAAGGCATTTTTACATTAATATGTTTCTGTTATGTGAAGGGGCCGCTCTTCTCAACATGAACGACTTCTTGTGCAACTTAAAAGGCCGTGTCATCATCTCATTCAGTATGCTCCTCATGTGCTCAGGGAATGATTGCCCCACAGCCCCGAGGCTGTTCGCTCAGCATTATAGCCCGAGCCTGGAAGCCTGCCATACACCATCATCCCTACTCAGCACAACAAAGGCTGCTTACAAGAAAAACCTCCTCTCCTTAAAAAACAAAGTAATTATCCCTCAACTTGTTATCAGGGTTTTGGAAGATGTATCACGGAGACCCTTAATTTAACCTACAAGTTGACTTTTTGACTCAGTTATTCAGTTTCAGATATTTACATAGTCTTAATCTTCAATAATCATATCAATCGAGAGGTTATTTAGAAGAGCCGAGCTACAAGAGTTGTTCCTCTGCACAGCTTATCCTGTTACAGGCTGAATTGTGACTCTGGGAATCCAACAAGCCGAGGTGCACATGTTTTGAGTTTAAACCGTTTAACAAACACAAAAACATACAATATTAAAACCAACTTTTCATAATAATCTTTAGAAAACTCAACAACTGGAACAAACAATATCCCTATTTTAGTGCAAAGCAGCAATATTGTCATTAAATCACAAACATGAATCTCTGTGTGTTCACCTGTATTTGTTATTGTGCCTTAATAGTAATGTTAAAGGTGTGTCGGGTTTAGTGGCATCTTGCCGTGAAGGTGCAGATTGCAACTAACTGAACACCCCTCAGGTGACATACCTGTGAATGTTTTATTTTACTTCTTGCCACTAGATCCTCCAATAGTTACACACTGGACCTTTAATAGTGACTGTGACATTATTATATTAGTACTATTTTTAATGCAGCAGTAAAGATTCAACCTTGAGGCGATTAGACACGACCTCTGGCGGCCATAATGGAAGTTTCTAACACCGGTGTTTAAACGGAGCCGCCAACTTCAGCTGTTTCAGCAGAATGGAAATAATGTAGTTTGTTCTTCTTAAGCTGACTTGAGACACTGAAACACAGATTACACCTTGAGTCTCCTCAGTGATTGAGGAAAGACTAGGACAGTGGGAGGAAACCTGCAGCTCTAGAGCCACATGCAACTTATGTTTAACATTTTTATTGAACATTGATGAAGACCTGAAGTGATTGTCCAGTTGTAAAAAAAATGTGTAGCCATTAGACACCCAATACAAACATTATTTTAATATTTTGTCAAAAAATGTGGTGCTTTTTCCTCTATATTTGACTGAACCTCAATAGCTGTGGCTACTAATCTTGAGTCTCCGTAGCTCGGCTGGCTATCGATTCCAAGGAAAATAGAGAATTTAATAGTGTGTGGAAAGTTTGTCGCCACCAAAGCTGCTGGTTACCGGTATGTTTGATCTGCAGGCGATAAATTAGCATTATAATGGGTTTTTTGGGCTGTTTTGATAGTAAAAGTTTCTGACTGGACTAATGTTCACCTCATATCATACCACAGCAGCTGAGTGGAAAACACTGTTCTTGTCAGCCTCCAGAGGTAGTCAGAAGAAGAAGATTCACTATTGCCGCCCCAAAGTTGTTAAAAAGAACTACAAAAGTGTCACCAAAGTGGCTGCAAAGACATTATTACTGACAACTACATATAATGGAAATCCAGTATGAATACTAATACACTTTATTCTGTTGATTTTGAAATGTTTGATTTTTGGCTGTATAAATAAAACCGATTTGACTCGAGCCAACTAACTCAAGAG